CTTGGAGAAGAAACTGGATGAGATGGTTCTGCTCCCATGCTGATAGCAGGAGATGATCACAAAAGGAGAGCTCCACATGGACCATGGATCCTGTCCTTTCTCTGGATCTTGAGTATTTCAACTGAAAGGGATAATTTGACACAATTTGGCTTCCAAGAAATTCCAGGTTAAAACACATGTTTGCACAGAACTTTGATAATGACCAGAAAAGTTATTTGTATACACAAGTCTGATTACTTGGTAGATTTGTTATTTTAAAAATCTCTTTCAAACAGCTGGATTTACATTTTGTAAATATGCATTCATGCCATGCCTCTCGTAGATAGAAAACCAGGACTCAGACAGATCACCTGTAGTAACTAATAGAAATTATCTGCTGAAAATTGCTATACATATGCAATGTTTTTGGCATCCTGAACCCTGGAATTTTATACCAAATAGAAGAATTTGTGGTATCTTTGCTCAGCAGCATAAAACAATCCAAGCTGGGACTGCTGTTCTCCCAGTATACATATTCTTGTTTTGGACAAGGGGGCCTGTAGGCTGGTTGATGGAACTGAAAAGGCTGGAAACCACTACTTTCTTCTTTTTCCTTCCCCTTTTTTTTCCCCAGGTGAGTTTTTGCATAGATCATCTTTATGAATCCACTCCACACCTGGCTCATGAACAGCACGTGTATCTGGCACTAGAGCAGCAAAAGGGAGGGAGAGGCAGGGAGGAGCAGGACCACACCAGCTTCACCCCAGGTTTCTAAAAGTCACCATGGCACTACTCTCCACGGCCTCGATGATAGAGTACAGAAGATTGTGTTAGTACCCATGTATTATCTTGCTGAAATTGTTTGCCATCTAGTGGTTTGTTGCCCTCCTACAAATGCAAACTTAAAAAATAGTAGAGCATTGAAGAACATAATTATAAAAAGATGTTTGTATTACACCTGTGCAAGAGCTTACACATATACATAGGAAAGATGAAGCACCTCTTGCAACGTGTTTAACCATTTGAATGAACATGCCACGGAGACAAGCAACAAAACCTTGCACACAGCCAAGGTGAGGCTCAGAGAGATGTTAGGTACACACTGTTTGTAATTGTACTCTCTTTTATTTCACTCTGCTACTCTTATTTCATCAAGGCATCCTGACCTAATTTGCTCCACCAATTTTCTTCATACTCGCCCACCAAAAGCATATATTATGTAGAAATTATGAGAGAATTAGGAGGGTTCTGTGTTTGGGGGTACCAGGGAGCAGCAAGAGCTGGCTGCTCTGCAGCAGAAGGTGTGCTGGGAGCAATACCAAGGCACGTGAAAAGAGTCACCTCACCAATGAGGAAGTAGGATGCAGAGCAACAAGCCAGGGTCAAGATGGGGTTAGGAGATAGTGGTGAGGGTCAGACACAGCCCAGCAGTCACCCAGCAGGGCCACAGCAAGGAGGCAGGTCTGAGGCCAAGCCAAGATGCCAAGTCAGTGAGTCCAGGTCAGGGCCAGACTCGTGGAGATGTGAGAAGGTGGGAATAGAGCTGCTGCACGGCTGCAGCGTGGCACAGAAAAGGGCCAGCACAAAGCCCCAGCTTCAAGGTGGCTCTCAAGGGAAAGGGGAGGTGGCCCCTCGCTACGAGCCTTTTCCACAACTGCCCTTATCAGTGAAGGAGCTGACCTTGGACTCTGCCAACTGAACCTCTGCAAGGGGGTAACGTGCTGAGGGTCACGGCAGCCTGAGGGCTGGAACAGAGCTATGGAACACGTCCAACAAGGGGTAAAGCTGGTTAATGGAAATGGCCTGGTTCGTTAAAATGGTGTATGAATGGAAATCCCATATGAAAGGAGATTGAAGCAAAGTTGAAGGAGCTTACTGTGTTCAGTTTGGAGCAACCAAGAACTCTTGCTTGTAACAACGGCTTCATTAATGAGAAGCAACAAGAGACATCTGAGTTACTAACTGATCACAAAATTATTTGAAGCTACAAATTTGATGTGTACATGAAAAAAAAAAAATCAAATACAATCCTAGGATGTACCAGGGCCACACATTTCTCTTAGAGACACTAATGTACAAGACATGAAGCGAACTAGTCACCCATGTTAAACAAGGGTGAATTCAAACCAACATATGCACAAATGGCTCAGCGGGATCATCAGGAGAACAGTAAGAGCTTCCTGTCTTACGAAAGGAGACCAGTAACAACAGAGGCTAAAATAAAAGGGCTGGAGGGGGTGCAACAAAAAATGGGTGAACATCACACAGAACAGAAATTATTTAAACTCATGGGCAACACTGGTCAAGGACAAATTGGTATAAATAATCCTATACCAAGAATTAAACTAGTAAAATAAATTCTTTGAAAACTAATAAATAATTAGGCTTTCTAACCTTCAAAGGAGTCAAACTCTGGGAATGCTTTTCAGTGCAGTTAATATCAGCAAGAAAACCTTGATAAATGGATAAATACTTCTGTATTTATTTACTTGAGTTGCATGTGACAGCAAAGGTTTACATTAGAACATACAGAGTGTCCCTTTCAGATTTATTTCCTGCATTACAATATTTAAAAAGATATTTACAAGCAGTATATTTGAACAAATGCAATTATTTTGCTAGTAATCAAAGAACAATTGAAAGCTATTCTGCCTGTATCACACAGTGGCAACCTGTGTAAAGTTACTGCAGCCTCTGTGACAGGTACAGTTTTAAAGGAAATTGCCTAGAAAAATGGTCAACCATGTCAGCTGAAATGTAGAGACACCTTGTTCATCTAGGTAATTGTAACACTTTAAAAATCATAGAATCATAGAATCATAGAATCATAGAATGGTTCAGGTTGGAAGGGACCTCAAAGATCATCTAGTTCCAACCCCCCTGCCATGGGCAGGGACACCTCCCACTAGAGCAGGTTGCTCAAGGCCACATCCAGCCTGGCCTTGAACACTTCCAGGGATGGGGCAGCCACAGCTTCTCTGGGCAACCTGTGCCAGTGTCTCACCACCCTCATAGTAAAAAATTTCTTCCTGAAATCTAATCTGAATCTTTTTTCTTCCAATTTAAAACCGTTTCCCCTTGGTCCTATCCAGAGTCCCTCCCCAGCTCTTCTATAGGCACCCTTCAGGTATTGGAAGGCTGCTATAAGGTCTCCCTGGAGCCTTCTCTTCTCCAGGCTGAACAATCCCAGCTCCCTCAGCCTGTCCTCATAGGAGAGGTGCTCCATCCCTCTGATCATCTTCGGGCCCCCCCGCTGCCCCTGTTCCAGCCGGTCCATGTCCTTTCTGTGTTGAGGACTCCAAAGCTGTACACAGTACTCCAGGTGGGGTCTCTTATGCTAAATCTAGCTGGGGACAGCAATATTTTTTTTTTTTTGGAAAGAATACTGGATTGTAAAGGACAATGACACAAAATAAATTTGGTATAACAGGATACACACAGCAGAGGTGCTATAAAAGCTACGTTGACTAGCAAAATTTGAAATAAAGCTTGAAAGATAAGTTTCAGACTATGAAGACTGTTATGTTGGCTGTATTTGTAATGGGTAAAGGGAATCCCTCTAACAACATTGAATCTAACTTAGAAGGTAGGAGCTATATACCTGAAGCAGAGAAAAATGGCACATTCAAGTCACTTGGCTTATAGACAGGCAGTTTGGAGGCTCCTCACAGAACCACAGAATTGTAAGGGTTGGAAGGGACCTCCGGAGATCATCTAGTCCAACCGCCCTGCCAGAGCAGGTCCACCTAGAGCAGGTTGCACAGGAATGTGTTCAGGCGCGTTTTGAATATCTCCAGAGGAGACTCCACCACCTCTCTGGGCAGCCTGTTCCAGTGCCCTGCCACCCTCAAAGTAAAGAAGCTTTTCCTCATGTTCGGATGGAATTTCCTGTGTTCCAGTTTGTGCCCATTGCCCCTTGTCCTGTTGACGGGCACCATGGAAAAGGGTCTTGACATTTTCACCGCAACCTGCCCCTCTCCTTAAAGAAAATATACCAGTTTAGGTTATATAGTACAATCTTATCTCTCTTTGATCTTACTCTGATGCAACAAAATCATAAGGCATCAGGAATAATCTTAGCTCAAGCACATCTGAAGTAAACAACGTTTCCTCCTTTCGCCCATTTATTTCCACTCCTGTTTGAATGAATTATTTCAAAGTAAATACTGTTACTTCCTCATTCCCTCAGCACTCTCCAGGCTGGGTGTAATTGGGCAAAGGGAATCTACATAAGCACCTAATCAAAACTCGTAGAACAATGTGTACATTGCAGAAAGCCAAAGTAAGTCTATATGTTCAATATATAATTGCTTAGGAATCTCAAAATTTCCTATTGCACATACTGATATTTGAGTCATTCAGCATGAACGCTCACCTCCTGTTAAAACCTCTGGTAGCACTCCTGTCCCTTTGCTGATTCCTAGATTTTAGCACTTGGTCTTCTGCCCTAAGAAATAGTACTGAGGAACTGGGAATTTCTCCACGGTCCTGCCCAGCCAGCCCAGTGGCCAGCAGAGACCCCAAGCTGCCAACTTCACTTCCCTGGCACCATGCCTCTTGCCCTGCCTGGAGTCAGAGAGCCCGGTCCCTCACAGCCCAGGCCTCCCAAAAAGGCATTTGGGATGTAGTGACTGCTCGGGGATGCCACCGCCACAACTCGTCCCAGGGACCCCACTGGGGCCCAGGCAGCGCTGAGCCTTCACCCTGGCCTGAGCCATGGCAAGAATTCCCTCACAGACCCAACCGGGGAGGGCACCATGGCACCACCTTCCCAGGAAAACTAGGCCAAGGCTTGGATGTAGGAACCAGAGATCTTTCAGCGGCCTACGGAGCAGTCTGAGGCAGCAGGAGGGCAGCTGACCGGACGACGTGCGGCGCCCTGCGCCTTTTCCGTACGGCCCGGCCCCTTCCCTCAGCGCACGGCTGCGCACTTTGCGTAACCCCGCGCGAGGTCACCCCTCGCCGCCGCCAAAAGGGGGCGGGAGACGCGCTGCGTAGACGGCTGCGAGAATCGCCGCAGTTCGCGCCGGAGGCGTAAGCGGTGGGACTTTGCCCCGGTGCCGGCGCGGAAGCCGCGCGCTCCCGTCCTGCCGCCGCCATGGCCGCCCCGGGGCCGGCCCGGCTCCTCCGGGCCGCCGCTGCTTCCTCCC